TTCACTCCTGGAAACAAGCCACGTCGCGTATAAGTTTGATCACTCTTATACTAGTATGGAACTACTCCATTTTTATTGTAAACGGTGACGTTCCATCTACGACACGGATATGAATCGTTGTCACATCAGACGTAGATGTACGGCGAGCAACCCTGAATTTGGTAACATCAATCCACAGTTCATCGGCATTGCGATAAGTGTCGAATACATTCCATGTGACCAATGTACCTTATTACCTGTCGTAGCTGCACTTAGAGGCCACAGCAACCCATCCCTATCAAGTCCCCGGATTTCACGTTGATTGGTCTACATCTCTCCTCACCATAGTAAGATTAATGAATGATGAGTTCAAGTTCGTCATCACAAGCGGTTTTGACAGCGCCATATTTCTAAACTAGTGCCTGTTCAATGTTTCGAAAACTCAACAAAAGGCCCCATATTACAGAGATATGCTCCGATGCAATTTAGAAGTTGTTGTAAAAAGTTGACCATTGGCACAGCCGAATGCCACGGTTTTTATGAATCACGTTGGACTTTTTCAGATGTGAACTTAACACGATAACACTGTTATGTAACACAAAACAATGATTGTACCAAATTTTACATCGCATTGGAATTCTGCATGTGTTACGGACACTGGTGAACTGAAATTTTGTCTATGAATTTAGGCAAATCTATAATACAGATATACTTCACTATATGCCTCCGCCATTTTGATATCAATGAGTATTCACTGAGCATGCAATTACCAGGAAAAATAAAAACTGAAATGATTGAATCATAGTGTGTTGTGTTCCCAGTTCCCGTCTAGTGTATTTCAATGTCTTGTCACGTTTACAGGGAGTAGAAGTGTTTTTTGTTTCGACTCGCCGGCGCGCGCCTTTCTCAATGTTGATACTTTTAATGACATAAACAAAACCCACTGGTCGCCGGGCATCGTTTATCACTAATTGCTTACTTGCGGTAAATGGGACACTCAAACCGGAATAGTAGTATTGAATGAAAATGTCATCAGGATACCATTAAAATTTATAAATAATTATGAAAATGAAGGAATGAATTTGATGTGTCGATAATATGGTACCTTAAGTTGAGACACAACATTTCAACCACACCATTATGATAGGAAGATGGTTATACCTAATATATATATATAAAGTAATTGTTCATTTTTTTTTTTACTTAATAAATTTAAGCATGATGGTTCTAATATTATCTATTCTTGATTTAAAATGTATCACTAAGTCTCATTAATAGTGATAAAAACAATTCATCAAATAACCTACCAGCCATTCCATAGTGGCAAGCAAACACTACCCAAGCTACTGAAATACTCCAAGCAAAACGGCTAAGTGATCCGTAGATGATTTCCTCTGCTGTGGATAATTCATATCCATGAGAAGTACGATACAGTCCATAGACAACAGACACAGCTATGGCAGTTGCTGCTACCCAACCCAAGATGGAAATTAACTGAAATATACAGGAAAGAATAAATGAACATGAACAGTACGGCATCTTTAGTGACCTTATAACATAAATTGGAGCTTTTTGATAAGTGAAGAGTAAGGCCAAACTTGGTTGGCATTTTATTGAAGGCTTTATAACACACTTACATTGAGCAATGTTGCAAAAAGGAAACTACTGAGATTGTTACTGAGCATGTATGCAGTGCATTGTGGGATAGTATTATATTACCAATTGTATAACAGGAAAATTATTACCAAACTTTGAACTCACTAAATTAAATGTCAATTTTTAAAACTGGATACTCAATGTCACCAATCATGCATCACCATGTGGTGTGAATGTATGAATAATCACTGATAAGATAGGGAGATAATAGTCACACATCAAGTAGGGGTTCCTAAGTAATGTTATACACTGATGAGATCAAAATCAAACAAAAAAATAAATAAATCTTACATTACGATTTCTGATCTGGATATTTTTGTTTCTCTGCATGAAGAATCCCAATGCCATACCAGTCAGATACGGCGCAATTCGACAATAAGGTTTGGTGTAAACGATGTCAAAAAAGTTTGGTTGATCACTATATAAAACCATAAAAGTGATAAATAACAAGTCCTTGTTAATGACATAGTCCCCGTTGGAATTAGGAGAAATGTTATTCATGCCAAAAATAAAGTAATATGCACCAAAAGCATAGCAAATAATTTAGAGTGAATAATTGATACTGACGACACCGGACGCCGGACAATCTTTCATATAATAAGCTCTGCTCGACAGCAAGGGTATACGCCAAGACATGACCTCAATTTCTTTATTGTATCAAAATTGGGGAGTGGGCATTTGCCCGGGCATGGGCGCTTATCCGGATAAATACGGTATTAGTATAGTCTAAAAGCAAGATGGCCACCATTCAGCCATCTTTGATCTGATTGTAAAAAATATTGTCATGGAAATGGAATCTAAAATGTACAATGCATGTACCGAATTTGAACAAAAAGTGACAAAGCATCATAAAACAAAATGGCTGACAAGCAGTCGGCCATCTTGGATTGAATCAGAAAACCACTGCACATGTGCACATGAACAGATTTGGTCCACAAGGTTCTGAAATATGACCCTGGATGGATGGATGGATGGACGGAGAGATGGAGGGATAAAAAACTGTTTTGAAAGTATAAGCTTTATATTTAATTACAATCACATGCATCTATCATTACATAATGCCACAATTACTCGATCACTTTATTCACCAAAATAAGCGATACCGTATTAGGCATTTCAAAAATTGTCTCTGCAGGTTTAATTTATTTCTCAACATTTGACTTTTCTTTTGTATAAAATAAAAATAGTAGTACTAGATCACCCCAATCCCTGTCTTAAAATAAACATATCATATGTACCAGACCAGTTTGTTGCTCAACATTGCTGGCCACAAATATGAGGTGAAATCTTTATTTTCACACCCACACTTTACCCACAGTATTTGACTGAAAATGTTTACTGAATCATTTTGCATGGTTACAAATAAAGTTGAAAAAAGATATTACTTACGTTGGAATTAGATTGACAGCACCACCAGTGAACAAAGCACCACTCAAGTCGAAGTATCCAATAAGAACACCAGTAACGATTACACTAGCTAGTAAAAACTGTGCCAACATGCCGATACCAAACCATGGTTTTCTATAAAAATTATGACATGATTGT